CATGTCTCAAGGCGGGTCGGCACTATGTCTGCGGCGACGCAATTAAACAAATCTTATTATTTCTGCGTGAATTACAATGTGCCGTATTCACACCGCAATGCTCATCGCAGTAATCATAGCTATTACAATACCAAGGCGCTGCCTTTCGTGTATGTATTAACATATTTTTTTATTTATTGCTTAGATGGGTGGACGAGCTCACTACCCACCTGATGTAAAGTAATTACTGGAGCCCATAAACATCTACAATGTAAATAAATGCGCCACCCACCTTGAGATATAAGTTATAAGGTCTCAAGTATAGTTACAACGGCTGCCCCACCCTTCAAACCGAAACGCATTACTGCTTCACCGCAGCAATAGGCAGGGTGGTGGTACCTACCCGCGCAGACTAACAAGTGGTCCTACCACCAGTAATTACGCAAATTATAATTTTGCGGGTTTGATTTTTATTACACGATGTTATTCCTTCACCGTGAAAGTCAATCGTGAACATTTATTGAGTACGTATTTCATTAGAAAAATTGGTACCCGCCTGCGGGATTCGAACACTGGTGCATCGCTCAAAACGAATGCGCCAGACGTCTTATCCTTTAGGGCACGACGACTGCAAATCTAATTATACACCATCGTGCCTGATGAAGATTTAAAGGAAGATCATCAGCGTCGACTTCATCGATGAAGATCATTGTCTTAGCTCAGAGAATCGACAAGCTATTAATATAAAAACACTGGATATTTCTTTCAACAGATGCATTTTGTCTTAGTGGGAATAGTGGGGCGTAGGCACAACAATACAATTCTAGCGGGCTGACACTTTCTTTATTTTATGCATGAACCACAGCTTAAGAAAAATTCTAGAAAATTTGGTACCTACAGTGCAAGTTTAAAAGCATGAACGTCCAATAAGCCTGCTTCCAGCGTTAGACAAATTGTACGAATATCTATTACGTAAACGCCTCTGGAACTTCGTCACCTTGAAGGGCATCCTGATCAACGAACAGATTGGGTTCCGCGCCAAACCCTCGAGCATCTAATAAGAGGAGTTCTCACGGAGCACATGTTAGTGAGGCTAAATAGAAACAGACCCGTCCCCACGGGAGCTCTCTTCTTCGATATCACGAAAGCATTCCACAAAGACTGACACAACTGAATATAATTAATAAACTGTACAAATCATATGAGACTTCTTGTCGAACCGTACGTTTCGATATAGAGTTGAGGGAACTCGCTCTCACCCGCGACAAAACTCAGTCGAAGTCCCGCAAGGCTCCATTCTCTCCCCACTACTTTTCAGCTTATACATTAATGCAATCCCGGTCACCAGCGACTCGGTTAGCCCTCTTCGCCAATGATATGGTCATCATCTACTAATCGAGTAGGGAGATGTTGTTCATTCACAGTAAGCTTCAGATCGGTGCCACCAATTTAGGACTGTAATTCAGGAAGCGGTGCATCGACATCGACCCCACGAAAAGCACAACCATGCTCTTCAAAGGGGGTCGCCCTACCGACACCACTGCTAGTAATACGTCCAGAATTAAACGCGATAAGATAAAGAATGGTAGGGTGACGGGATTCATACTTGAATTGACTCAAATTCAAATTCAAAATCATTTATTTCAACTTAGATGTTAGTATGAAATACTTGTTGAATGTCAAAATATAAATAACAATGTTAACTCTACCATCGGTTCCAAAAAAAGCCACAGTCCTGAGAAGAACCGGCGAAACAAACTCAGCGGGCTTTTTTTTTGTTTTTTCTCCAATTTTTTTTTTGTAATAAGTAAAAATATTGTCAATAAAGGAAAAAACAAGTCAAAAAATACAATTAAAAATAATAATAATAATAATAATGAAAAATGAAAAGGCCAGGAGCGAACGCCTCATTCACGTAGTGCCCTCTAGAAAATAATCCTTAACTTTATAATATGGCTTGTTGCACAAACGTTCCTTGACAGTTTTCTTAAATCTATGAACAGGTAGTAATTGAACGTTTAGTGGGGTCTTGTTGAAAAGTTGTACACCCAGCCCCCTAAAAGAGTTGCTTATTTTCTTAATTCGAGCCGCCGGCAACGCAAGCCTATGTTTGTTCCTAGTGTTTACATTGTGCAAATCGCAGACTCTGGGGAATTCTTCAATGTTTTTACGCACGTACAATATTTTCAAAAATGTATTGAGACGCTAAAGTTAGAATTTTGATTTCCTTAAACTTGTCCCTCAAGGATTCCCTCGGGTGCATATTATAAATAGCACGAATAGCCCTCTTCTGCAGGATGAAAATCGTTTCGACATCGGCAGCATTGCCCCATAGCAAAATGCCATAGTACATAACACTATGAAAAAAAACTATTTATGTGGTGTCGTGGGACACCAGGTAGGAACGAAGCTCCTTCGGCTAATGTAGAATCAACACAATTTGCAAAAAAAAAATCGTGCCCAATTTTATGTTGGTTTTCTTGATTTTTCTCTTAAATTTGCTGATTAGTTTTTATTTAAGTACAGGAAAGTATTTAGGAAATTCAGTATTTTAGCAAATAATAAATTACGTAAAATAAAAATAAAATCTTAATTCAAATTATCAAATAAAATAACAAAATATGTCTCTTTATTTTTGTTTGACAACATAAAATTACATAGAAATAGAAATAATTACAAAATAGAGAGAGAAGGGATGAGAGAACGAAAAGAAAGAGGGAGAAAGAGAAAGGTATTATACACTACTCGCTTGTGTATACGACTGTCGCGTCTCATTTAACGGTTTTATTCCACGCACTTTTTTCCACGGATTTTTTCTTACGGTTTTACTATCACATTTTTTTCAGTTCGGTCGCGCAGCAAAATCCCTATCCCCTCCAAGCCTGCCGTAAGGAACTTCGTTCCAATAACTAAAATAAACCAGACGTGCCGTATCTTCATTAGTATACGTTTGTATTTTTTTTACCGCAAACGCTGCGCCATGATCTGATGGCAAAGTAAATATCCCTTCGTAATAAGGTGACACTCTACAAAACTTGCCTACGTTCCGTCAAGCATTGTGTTCGCTCACGCAGACCGCATACACATTAACTCTCTCAAGGTCATTCAATCCCATTTTTGCAGGACAGCCGAAGGAGCATAATGTTATATAGCCTATAAAATTTCTCGATAAATGGGCTAACAAACAATCAAACTCTTCAGTTTTAAAAGGTCAGTGTGGATAGAATTTTACGTTTTTGGAAAACAGAGAAATTCAAAGACAAAATCGTTTACTGCGTGGCTCTTATTAACAGGTTCCGGTAGTCTGTCATTTGCTAGGTCACCGACAATCGCAGTTCGAAAGCGGGACGCCCTAGAACTTCCAACATAACGCATCTGCTTCTGTTACGTTAACGCACCTCGTATACCCGAGTTTTGCTATTCGGAAAAGCCTCGCCTACGGGTCGAAGTAGCCCACACTTCTATGAGTACGCAGTGGGAATTCGATTCTGGCGTATTTTGGTTTTTGAGCCTAATATTTATAGCTATCAAGCGAATCAGAGAGTACGTCGGACATAATATTACCAGGAAAGACGGAAATAATGTTAAAAACCTGGTCTTTTCTGGTACAATCAAATGAAAAAATTCGCAGGGGCGCAGTCGTTTGTCTGATCAGATCTGCACTAACCCTGATCCCATCGTCTACGATGATCTCCGAGTAACCGAAGACCGAATCAGGTAACACAGCATCGTGAAAACAAAAGTCATGCATGAAGGTGGTCACGACCCTCAAACATGAGGAGCGCGAACATAAGAGAAGGAAGATTTAGCAAAAAAAATAGATTAATTTTTTTTTTATATTTACATTATAACAGACATTAAATTTGTAATTCATAATTCTTTTGTTTACTCATTTATGAGTTGCGTTGTTTAAATATCACAAATAAAAAGATCATTTTTTGAAATGACAAAATAATATTATACTAGAGGTCCCGCAGTAGTCCAAATTCGACTATAATATAATTAATAGGAATTGTAAGTTTTTACACTATTAAGATTGTATTTTATACTTCTATAATCACAAATTTCGCCAAGACTACACTATAAAAAATATTAACAAAGACAATGTTTAATCTATTCTCAATTTGACAACAGACACCAAGTTTTTTTTTTTTTTCCTACCTATGCTGATAGCCTTGAGAGGCTATTTCAGCTTCGCCCTAACGTTAGTAGGTGAGCTCGCGGGGCTCAACCGGAGAGTTGCTAACACTGACCCTAGCAAGAGCAGTGCTTCGCAGAATCTACCACCGGATCGGAAACGCGACCCACTGAGAAGATCCAGCGAGAAACTCAGTGGGCTCAGACACCAAGAACAAAAGTTTGACAATAAATAGTATGCATGCGTGTGTGCGTCAAATACATGGTATGTAGTGTGTGTAATGTTTTCTTTATTGATTTAATGTATCTTTTATGCATTATTTTAAAAATATATTAGCATTGTGCATTTCTTCTCTATATTCTTTAAAAGTGTGGGAAATTTCATACTCCTCCGTCCGCGCAATTTTCATAAAAAGGGATACAAAGTTTTTGCTTCCCGTATTAATACATATTATATTATATTGATATGCTAAGTAATTTTCAGTTAAGTAGGTTCAATTGGTTTGTAGTCTTAATTTTGTGACGGCGTTATGTTCATCCTTTCATCTCATTATCTAAGTACCTACAGAGGTACCTATTTACTAAAACACTAAGATAAATAAATGGACAGGTAACTTAACCCAAACAAATAGTTTGACAAACTTGTCATGTCATATCAAGGAACTTCCTTTTCCGGATAAATAGAACCCGGTCAGTTTTTGTTTTCTCGTATGGAGGTAAAAGTTAAAAATTGAAATTATAGCGAGCGAGGTAACAAAAGCGACTTTATTGCCGAAATCATAGAATTCATATTTATGTAGTTTTTTACGGTAATACCTACGAATAAATAATGGTAATACAAAATTAAAAGACGAAACTTGAAAAATAGTATTTATTTGTTTGAGATTTTTAATTTACTAACATAATTGACTTACATTACTAATTCTATATTAAATGCTAACATAATTTAACATATGTATATAATAATATATGCACTCGGTCACTCTGAAAAAGGCAATGACTGTGGTATGTCAAATATTACTAATATAATCGAGGAACCACATAACATAATGTGACATAGTACATATAGAAATGCCTTATGCTGTTTAGATAAGATCTAAGGTCATTTAAATTGGAGATTCATAATTATTTACAATCGTGCTTCAAGCTAAATGCGTCTTTGGTGCTTTATCATGAAGTCTACTTTCCTAAGGATTTCGCCTGCCCTATGACGGCTATAGCTGGACCCGCTTTGATTAATCCATCGCGAACGTTGCGTCCCACTTTCTCCTGTAATTAAAGATTGAGAAAAAACATAAACACGTGAAAATGAGTTAATTAATGTTTAATAGATAGTTAAACACTAAACAGTTTAGTCGTCGTGGTTTAAGGGATAAGACGACCGGTGCGTTCGTATGTAGCGATGTAATGATGATTCGAATCTCCCTAGCCGTTATCAATTTTTCTAATGAAATACGTACCTACGTATATAACAAATGTTCATAATTGACTTCCACGGTGAAGGAATAACATCGTGTCATAAAAATAAAATCCACAAAATTAGAATTTGCGTAATTACTGGTGGTAGGACGTCTTGTGAGTCCACAGGGGTAGGTAACACCATCTTGCCTGTTTCTGCCGTGAAGCAGTAACGCGTTTCGGTTCAAAAGTTGAGCAGGCGTGTACTTTAAAAACTGAGACATTAGAACTCATGTCTCAAGGTGTGTGCCGGCATTTACGTTGTAGATGTCTATGGGCTCCGGTAACCCCTTAACACCAGGTCGGCCGTGAGCTCGTCCACCCATCTAAGCAACGAAAAAAAATTGAAGCTACAAACTACGTGGTTATTTAAAAGAAAATGTACTCACAATTTTCTTGAAGAGTTTCCACCTGGGCTCAGGAGCAGCGCTGACCGCGCCGAGAGCCAGCACCAACGCGAAGACGAAGCTCAAAATACGTACGAAATTCATTTTGCCGAAATTCTCTAGTGCCGGAGAATTCAAATTACCAATACAATATCGTTCGACGCGAACGCTAAGAATGATGCTTCACTTATAAAACTTTATGTTTTTATAATGCAATATTTTTACAATACTTTAATGCGGATTTGAAAACGTTATGTATAAAAATCTCAACCTTACGGCTTACGTGATAAGAGTCATAAAATTGCTGTTCGATGGAATGCATAAACTTATTCTCGATAAGGAGTGTTGCGGTTTCTCGAGGGGAGATCCCGTCTTTGTGATCGAGGTGATGTCCCGTCGATGATTTTCTTTCCAAAGAAGTTATGGAAGTAAAAAATAAGTTGATAACTGTATTAATAGCATAATAATATTAAATTTTTCCTTAATTGTTTTTCCTTAAACATTTTCTCCTTTATTGGACTTATTTGAATAGTAAAAGTATGCTATTTTAAAATAATAGTCAATAAATTTTTTATATCGCTGCTCTAGTTGAATTATATAATTTAGTAAGACTCACTAATTCGATTGTATTTATAATATAGATAACTCACGATAAAGCTATCGTGAACCCGTTCGGGTAAATACTACATTCCTGCCTATACATGCCACTAGGCACTCATGCCTTTCGTTCAAAGTCACCTTTCGACGTGGGTGGCGGCATTGCCTAGTAACCACTTAATGCCAAGTGTGCCGTGAGTGCATCTGCCCATCTACCGATATAAAAACATGATTCATAAAAGTGCAATTCACTTTCACACAAGATAAATTCACCAAAATGCCCGAACAAAGCATTGTATGAGTTCAAACTGGGATCATCGACCTTGCAGAGAAATGACGTGTTATTGACCTTTGCGGTAAGATTTAAGCTATTGACAAAAGCTCGAGTCGAGCCAGCTTATAGTGAGTGGTCAACAGCAATGCCTTCGGTACTGTTGAGCCACTGGCTGTGACTTATATTAAAAATACTTTACTTAAAATACTTTTTACGTTATATGAACTACTATTTACATACATCGCTCGGGTAGGTCCTGCCTATATCTACCGTCCAAAACAATCGCGCGTTCCGGATTTAACGATAGGACAGTCGTTCCACAACATAATTGAGACGTCGACCTCATGTCTCAAGGCGGATGGCCACGATGTCTCCATAAAATACAATGTGCCGTATTCGTACCACAATGTTCATCCCAGTAGGTAATCATAGCGTTTACAATACCAAGGCGCTGCGTTTCGTGTATATATTACTATCTAATTATACACCATCGTGCCTGATGAAGATGTAAAGGAAGATCATCAGCGTCGACTTCATCGATAAAGATCATTGTCGTAGCTCAGAGAGTCGACAACCTGAAGTGGCAGTGGCTGAACATGTATGCCGTAGAAATGACGAACGCTGGAGCAAGCGGGTGCCTGATGGAGACCGCAGCCCGGCATTCGTAATGTGGGACGTCTCCCAACTATGAGGTCTAATGACTTGCGTAGAGTGGCCGGCATGAGATGAATAAGGAGATACGAAGATCAAGTTCACTGGTATAAATTAAGAGAGACCTATATCTATTATATTTTTATATTTACCTATATTTTTTACTGGTGGTAGGATCTCCTGTTACGTTGTAGATGTCTATGGGTTCCAGTAACCACTTAACACCAGTAGGGCTGTGAGCTCATCCACCAATCTATGCAATAAACAAAAAAATAAAAAAATTGGAAAACAATATTGTTATATCTTTATTGAATAGGAAAACGAACACTACTCAAACGATCGAGGCAAAGGAGCGGGCTGTCTCCTTCTTTTCGTAAAGAACCTTCGAATTTCGAGACAGTGTTTGGTCATGAAGCAGACAACTGAAGAGTGAACGCAGTCTGTCGTACAAGCGCATCCAGAGGGACAGTGCGGCATGTTTGAGGGACATTCCTCAGGTGGTCCGGCGCCCTCACACGGCAACGCGCAGAATGTCTCATTACAGTTATTTGTTGGCCCTGTAAAAAAAGGAAGATGTCGATGTTAATAGAATGATTGATCAAAAGGGTTTGTGGCTCCTAAATTCAATAGCTAGAAAACCTCACTTTTCTGATGTAATACTGATTAGGGACTAGTGCAACGCCAAATGTTGCCGTATGCGGTAATTTTTAAGTTTGACTAAAACACGTGTAATTTTTTCAGGTTTTTTGTTTATTGCCCTTGTAGGCAGACGAGCATACGGCCCACCTGATGGTGAGTGGTTACCGTCGCCCATGGACTTCAGCAATGCCAGGGGTAGAGCCAAGCCGCTGCCTACCGTCAGGTTAAAAAAGAATCGTTTATATGCAACTCTTTGTGGGCAGACATGCAATTTGTAGATTAGTGTATATGTAAAATGACGAAAGTGCGATATTTCTGTTACTACAGACACAAATTTCACTTTACCAACCCACGCTGAAAGACCGACCTTATAATAGTGACCATAGAAAATTGTCTATAAGCCTGCCATTTAAGATATCTCCATAAAACTCCAATGTAACTGGTTGAAACTGACATTTTTGATCACCTAAATGTTACTAACACGTTGAGACATACGGTTACGCTCTCAATTACATTCAAATAGACCTCTGTCGTCTGAATAGAGCCTCGTCAGTTACCTATGAACTAGTTGTAGTAATATTACAACTAATGTATTGTTGTATGTAACTAAAATATTACAACTAATGTTACAATTATGAGGAGGTAAAAGACAATTCCCCCTACCGGAGGGAAAACTGTGGAATGAAACATGAAAAAACGCATACAATTAATGCAGTGACCGGGTAATGGTCTTTGCAAGCGCCACTCGCAACATTACTTGACCCAATTAGGTTTCCTGACCCACAAATTACTTAATCAACGACTTAGCTATTTTCTTCATGAACAGTACTAGATCATTGTTTATTTATTTGTTTTTATTAGTTAAGACAAATTTGGCGATTTGCCTTCAGAATACGCACTCGCGGCAAAGTTTGGTGTTTATGGCCCTCGTCCCATCCTAATAGGATCTAATTTATTTATTTATTTAATATATTTTGTACACACAGCTGTTAGAAGAAACACGACAATAAGGATACATAATACAATAAGGAACAATACTTATTTCATGTTGAAATCTCTTCCGGTAAGAAACGTCTCTGAAATAACCCTTTTTCGGGTAGGGGGCTAAAACTCATACATGACGTTTCCCAGCCCAGGGGTGCGCGGGGTATGTGAGTCTTGACAGTCCGGCCCGCCCTATACTAGCTCCAGCTAACAAACTATGTTGGGAGCGGAAAATTGGCTCAAAGATGTTTTAGTCCGAGAGGCCTGGGCGGCTCAACTCAAATGTCCGTCACCCGTAGACAACCCCTCTAAAATAACCCACCCTGGAACGGAGTTCCCCACTGGAACACCTAGCGTGAAACCGTAAATTTTTACATTTCAGTCTTTTTATGTACGCCTTAAGGATGCCTTACTGGACCTTATACCTACTGGTCAACAGACGAGCAAACGGTCAAAGTGGTGATTCGTTATCATCGCTGAAGTTCACAAGTACTTTATAGTTCGAATTAAAGTCTTTTCGCTTCACAATTATTTAACTATTTCAACGTTCAGACCAATAAAAACACACATTTTAACTTGCCAAAAATAAAACTGAATAATGAGATCGCGTGATATTGAGACGTGGCGGCAGAGTTGAAATTGCGCATGCATTCGTCGTCAGATCGTGGCTCGACATGTCGCTGCGACCAAGCGCAAGCGATTTTGTATTTTAAAATACGTTATAGTTACCGTTTCTACCATCGTTAATTCCACAAAATACAGTATCTCAAAACCAAAAACTAACTGTAAATGATGAGAGAGCCAGCCCTGTTATTAACACGAATGCTGAAGGGGAACAACAGAATCCCCCTCCAACATTTTCGACCGGAGTACCAATGGTTACCCGTGGAAATTTCCCATCTCCGAATAATTTTAATGAACAGTATTTGCAGTATCCACAGCAAAGCTCTATGAAAACATTGTATAGACATTCGTAACACCAGAGGCATATACAAATCGCCTACTAGCTCTCCGTAAGCCTGAAAAAGAACATGTTAAAACACCCAGTAAACACCGAGGGGAGTTCATTCTGGTGTAGTGGTAAGTGACATGGTCACTACACAAGGTGGTCGCGGGTTCGAATCCCGCCAAGGGAAGATATTTTGTATGAATAATGTAAAATGTCTTTTCCAGGGTTATGGATGTATATTAAATATATGTATGTGTATAATAAAAATCTTACATTTATTTCCCTTATCTGGTACCTGTAACACAAGTTCTTTACGAACTTACCACGGGACCAGTTAACGTGGCGTGGTTGTCAGTAAATATTTATTATATTTATTTATTTATTTTATTTATTCCAGAGTCGTTTTCTGATTAGTTTCATATTTATTGTTTTATAATTTAAAACATATTACCTCATATCATATTTCAAGTCTTTACTCAAAAAAGAATAACTTTTTGACATAGCAGTATAGAAATATTTAACAAATGGGTAAATTTTTAATTATTAAAGGCACGATAGTCAAAACGAACTTCGCTGGTTGCTAACAAATTCATTTCAATAAAGATCAAAGGCGATAAGTTCAATTAACCGCTCTATCGACTCATAGTAAAGCATCAAAGACTTATTTCGATACGCTATAAAATAATTAATTTTAATAGTTTTGTAGGTGCTTGAGAAAAAGTCGCCAAAGTCTAAGTAACTAAGAAGAACTTTGTTATGTTCTATGATAACACGTATACGTATTTCCAGTATTAATCCCTGGTTTTTGTTATTATATGCCCACTGAGTTTCTCGCCGGATCTTCTCAGTGGGTCGCGTTTCCGATCCGGTGGTAGATTCTGCGAAGCACTGCTCTTGCTAGGGCCAGTGTTAGCAACACTCCGGTTTGAGCCCCGTGAGCTCACCTACACGTTAAGGCGAAGCTGAAATAGCCTCTCAAGGCTATTAGTATGGGTAGAAAAAAAAGTTATTGTACTGTGTATGTTACTACGTACAGTTTATGATGAAATTCAGCCTCATATATCAATGTGGCTAAATAATTGGGTAAGGATATCCATTGCCCTATCTACAAAAAAAAAACCCGGAAAGAATAATAAGACTAGGAAGGCCTTTCTCTACAGCAATAACAAAATCATCCGGAACCCACTATTAGAAGAAAACTAGTGACTTATTTAAATGCCCAATGACGCCATACGACGCCAGTTATAAAATTTTCGCGCCAATTTTTTTAAATAAGAACTATTTGGTTCACTCTTTTATTTTCAGAAAAAAAATCAATAGCGTATCAATAATATTTTACGAATAACTAAATACAATCAAATTAAATTTAATAGACGTTTCAAATCAAACATTCTTCACTGATCGGCGTTAAAGCAAACGAATTTCATCGAAATAATACAATCTTCATTCCTGCCTACCTGAAAACGATATCTATCGATTCGATGATAACGTTGAATGTCACAGTCATCAGACAAACGAAAATGTTACTTCGATGGAAACAACAAAGTCGGTTCTTGCTTGTTTCGGTGATAAAACAAGATATCTTTCCGTTTCGATTAAGCTACCGCGATATTGAATTTGTACGTTTCCGGTCGTTCATTCATCGGCCCTGATGGATCGCAGCTTTCGACTCCATTCAGATGATTCTGAATTCATTTCGTTCCAGAATTTATACAGTATTAATTGCATTCGAATAATTGTTCCGAATTAATAGTGAGAATTGTTTTAAATTGACTGTAAGGTGTACATAATAAATGTAATAAAATTTTAAATTTATATCCGTTTCACGCAATTTTTAATCGTGATTTTGACAAACTTAAATTGTCGGATTGAACTGAAACTTTGCACACTTATCAAGGACGAATGAGAGTACATTAATTTAATTTAAAATTAGCCGATTATCCTGATCTTCGGGTCTTTAGGATTAACGATGTTGCGGACGGTTAAAACATGGTGGTATCTAGTGCAACGTACTAAGGCGTGTACGCGCCTACCGTATTCCACGGATATAGTAGTAGTTTCCCGGGATCCAGAGAACAAAGGTTGCATCAGCCTGCTGAGTTTCTCGCCGGATCTTCTCAGCGGGTCACGATTCCGATCCTGTTGTAGATTCATCGGCAGCTGTTCTCGAGTTGTTAGGTCTCCTTCGGAGGTGCTCGGACAGCTATTAGCTAATCCCACCCCTCCTGGCTGTCCTGGTGAAACTGGAAAGGCCTCAGGGCCACCAGTAATCCTTCTATCATAAAAAAATAACAAAGGCCTCTCTAGCCCATTTAGCGCCCCTGTGCAATCATTATTATCGTAGCGCTCTTTAGTAAGAGTACGCTCAAAATGTAATAGGTAAAAATGCAACAGACTCATTGACTTTGTCGAGGCCGGCGCCTTCTAGCACCGCTGCATCATAAGACAGATATTGGCAAAATTAAAAAACGAACTGACACATTTTTACGACCGTCTTTTTTTCATTAATCACTTAAAAAAATATTTTGCTTATAGAATATTAATTTATATAGTTTCTAATTCAACTAGCTACAAAAGAGTGTTATTTTTGGTGTTTCAAACCTTTTTTTTTACGTTTATGGGTCAAAGAGGTTACCACTTATCTAATGATGAGAGGTTACAAGAGGTCACGATGTGCATGTATTTTTAAGGTTTTAACTAGGTATGTTTTTTTAGTTGCTTCTGCTATCCATAACGGAATAAAATTCTACAAGGCCCTCCCTTCCTTCTGTGTGGAAACTTTATTACACTCAATGATATTTTATATGTAAAAAGAAGACTACACTATATTTCATTAATTACCAATTTTCTTGAAAAAGGATTCCTCGTCGTCCCATGGTTCCTGACACTGCACTAAAGTTGCAAACGTGAATATTTTTATTAAGAACAAGCTACAGTACAATTTGGCCCACATATCGCAAAATATATTTAAAAAATACAAAAAATTATAATTTAAAATGTCAATTTGACAAAGTCAATGATAAATAAGTTTAGTTTTGATTTATTACATTCATTATTCGGACTTAAGGTCTAAATCGATGGTTAGGTTTATTTAATAGAGAACCAAGCAATTAATTATGCATGTATTTTTACTAGTGGTAGGACCTCTTGTGAGTCCGCACGGGTAGGTACCACCGCCCCGCCTATTTCTGCCGTGAAGCAGTAATGCGTTTCGGTTTGAAGGGTAGGGCAGCCGTTGTAACTATACCGAGATCTTAGCACTTACATCTCAAGGTGGGTGGCGCATTTACGTTGTAGATGTACATGGGCTCCAGTAATCACTTAACACCAGGAGGGCTGTGAGCTCGTCCACCCATCTAAGCAATAAAAAAAATCATTTCAAATAGAGTTTTCATTTCTAGTGGTTTCATTAAAAGGGCGTACGTATTATGAGCAAGAATAAGTAATATTATCCTCTCTGATTATGGCAGTAAGGCATTCAATGCGATTTGAATACCTGGACAGCTGGGGTCTCATGTTGTATGACACCATTCACGGGTAAAAGTAAACAGAGAACTTCCTGTAACTCACCAACTCCTAAGAACCAATAAGCCTCGAAAGTTAACTTCCCGTTGTACCTATCGCTCCCCCCGGATACAGAGCAAGTAAACGATTTCGAGTACACTGAGAAGTGAAGCACCAAAGAAAACGCCAACCACACCTCCAAAGTCAACTGAAACGAAATTAAGGAGCTTAAGTAGTTTTCCAATTACAGAGCATAATGCGACTCAGTGACGCACAATGCCAAATTATGCTGAAGCTTAATTGGAACGTGAATTAGTTTTCAAATGCTTCTCTATAACTTATGTGTGTATTATCTTTGGCTGAATCTACCACCTAAATTTCGACCCACTGAGAAGATCCGGCGAGAAACACAGTTGGCACTCTCTGTCAACTATAAGTTATCTATCTATTTCTAATAAACATAACACTAAAACCAAATGGCGAGGAAAACCATTGATCGCCGGAATGCGGGACCGAATGTCTATCTCTATCTATTTAAATATTAGTGTATAATATATGCTACGTATTAGGTGTGTTTACTAATTAAGAGCTCACTAGGGTAGTTTTCCAATTACAGAACATAATGCGACTCAGTGACGCACAATGCCGAATTATGCTGAAGCTTAATTGGAACATGAATTAGTTTTCAAATGCATCAGCAGAGTGCGCTAAGTTAGCACAGTTTTAATTTTACATTGATTATTTCTAAGAAACTTACGACGAAACGAAAGCCTTACAATTTTTTTCAACATTACATAATATTACTAACGATAATATAAACAAAATTTCGATCAATGCCAACTTATAGAAAAAACACTTGTCAATTTTCTGTCTCTGAGTCGGTATCGATTGCGAGTATCACGCGAGAGCAGTACTTTTGAGAGCGCTCGATTGTGCGAAGCGTTGCTGTAGTTGGAACATTCAACGTTGAGCATTATGCCGCATAATGCGCTCTTGTGCTGTATCCTCAAATCACCTCAAATCATTTTCTAGGTGAATCAATTTTGCTGATTTTAGTTTTTTTGTTTAACAGAGACATAGCGCTTCTCATGTCCCATTTATCAAGATCTGACCAACTCAGTAGTTTTTTTTATTTATTGCTTAGGTGGGTGGACGAGCTCACAGCCCACCTGGTGTTAAGTGGTTACTGGAGCCCATAGATATCTACAACGTAAATGCGCCACCCACCCTGAGATTTAAGTTCTAAGGTCTCAAGTATAGTTACAACGGCTGCCCCACCCTTCAAGCCGAAACGCATTACTGCTTCACGGCAGAAATAGGTAGGGCGGTGGTACCTACCCGCGCAGACTCTCAAGAGATCCTACCACCAGTAATAAATAGTTACCTTAATAACGCATATTTCATTGAGTTGGACTTACACTAATGATGTTTTCATTTTATTTTGTTGAAGTCGGATTTTCTTTTTTTTTTAAACTTATTGAGATTAAATAATTTAGACCTTAGAACTCATGTCTCAAAGGGAAGTGGCGTCATTTAGGTTGTAGATGTCTATTAGCTCCTGGAACCACTTAACACATGTTGACCGTGAGCTCGTACACCCACCTAAGTAATAAAAAAGCTACGCTGATGCCTCACTGTCATTGGCCAACCATTAGTGTACTTAGGCCTTTCCTATGTTGTCCCTTCCGGTCTACAGTCGTCACTAGAGAACTTTCGACCCAACTGACACATTTTCAACTAGTAAGCGCTTTGCTCATCACCACTTCAACCTCGCAATCCTCCGGGCTATATCAGTTATGAGGGTTCTCCTGCAAATCTTTTCATTCTTAATTCCAACACCCTGGAAATACCCCTAGCCCTCTCCGTTGTTCTTTTAAGCCTTCTGATTGTTGAACTTATCATTAACTATTTATATTATTTGAATTATAAATTGTATTTAAATAAAAGATTTTTACAATTGACCGTTACAAGCGGGACATCAAGAAAAACATTACCAACAAGACCCAACATATCTCTGATAGCGTGTCTTCGGACTCTCAACGTGGGCAGTTGTCCAAGCTTCACAGATCCTCGCGTGCCACGGTGTACCAAGCTCGGATGCAGTTTCCCCGTATGACGACTGATAGGGTAAAAGACATGAAATCGATTAACTCACTGAAGCTCATTAAGGGTGCTTTTACACCAGAGCGGAGCGAAAATCAAAATCATAAGATTGCAAAATGATTTTGTGCAATCTTATTAGTTAATATTTCTCCGTTGCTCCGCTCCGCTTTGGTGGACAGGCACCCTAAGGGGGTAGCATGTTTTCTATCTTATGAGCTAAATGAAAAAAGTTTCATCGCTAAATCATTATGGCCAACGCGGGACCGGTCAATACGACGAACTTTGGGAGGAGACCTGGGTCCAGCAATGGGAGTTTGAGGGCTGTTGATTATGACGTCACTGTGTAGATTACCAGCAATAGTGAACATGCCTTATTATGAACCCAAACGAGTAGATACCGCTTTTCTGTCTAGTTCTGCCGTGAAGCAGTCATCCTCGTCGCCTTTACGGGATTTTTACCACGCATAGTTAATTATCTACGACCTTATGTCTTGGAATAATTATGCGGACCTTATGTCTTGACAGTATTTATGTTATGATGTCTCAGCTCTGACAACTAACCTAAAGCCCAATAGTGAGCTCGTCTGGCCAATTAGAATAGAAAAGGAACACAACGAGAAAATTAGCGAACTATTTGTATTTTTCTCTGAAAACATAACAGGAATAATTTGGAAAGCAGATAAAGTTTCAATCCTATTATAGACACTATGCCGTGAATTTCTTCAGCCCATTTGGAAACATGATACTAAAGTTCTTATTGCTATAATTGACGTCGCTTTCTGACCCTTCAAACCGAAGCACCCTTTAAATTTGTGGTATGGATAATTTGGTATTGCGTATCTCAAAGCGGGTGGCTTCATTCACGCGGCTATGTCTATTACGACATTAACCGCAGTTAATCTGTAAGTTTCGTAATTATCCACGTCATTGAAAATAAAGTGACACTTACAAACATGATGTCTGGATTGTGGTGTAAACAACGTTGTCACATTCCATAGGACATTCGCTTCCTTCAACAATTAATGAATCTGGGAAATTCATAAGTTTTTTTAAAGATGTAATATGAATTGACATGATGTTTCCTCTCTGGGTAACTAGAGCAAGATCCTTTGCTAGGGCTAATGCTAGTAAATTCTCTCAGGCTGAGCTCGTGGGTCCACTTGCCGTTCCGTAAGTATTTAGTACTATCAGCGAATAATTAGGGGAGAAAAGGGGGATATAACCCGACTAGGGATGACGTCGGGCAGACGGTCGTTCGTAAAATATATGCTAAATCCAGCATAGCAGCAGTAGATAGCTGATTATATAGACAAAATGATTAGTAAATTCTCCATCATCTCAATAGTATAGATGTGCTGTAAATACAGTTTAGGTCATGGAGATGGAGATGGAGACCGCTGATACTGCAAGTTGGAAAAACATCTCGATAGTGTCTAGATGTGTTGTAAATCCAGTATATGTCTTTTAAAGATCAATAGAGATAGAATTATAAACTCACCACTATTGAGATGGAGACAAGCCAGACCGCTGATATTACAAGTTGGGAAATCACCTGTCGAAGCCATAAGGAGTACATAAGTTTTTCAGCTTAAACTTTAACGAGAACGAGAAAGATCTTACTGTTTCCCAAACCAATGTCTGGGGAATAGAAGAAGTAATAGAATCTCCACTTGACCGAAATCGATTCTGTATATTTAATTCTGAGCACACAAAGAAAGAAGAAAAAAGACTTTCAGGAAGAATTCGCAAATAGTTAAACTCCACTATGATTTTATTTCACCTACAACATCACTTTTACAAAACGTGGAATTGTGCAAGTATTCTTAAATTATCATTAGATTATAGGACAGTAAGCAGTATACTTATGACCAAAAAATGTGTATACTAAAAATATATGTGTATCTACTGACCAATATTGGGCATGTAATGATGAGTGCAGTTACAAACATCCGTTTGAGCTTTGGCCCTACAGTATAGAACACAAGCGCTGTATGAATACTTCTTGAATGGCCAATGTTGGGCGAAAGAGGGTACCTCGTGGCTGAACAGACAATCTCGACTTACTGGAGATATCGATTGGACTGCAACGTCTGTTATTGTTTGTTCTACCTGAAAATGTCCACAAGTTTTAGTAGTAAACTACTACCTAGTTCTTTTGTATACAATACAATATACAAGGTAATCAAACTCTTCTCACCCTCAAACTAGCTTCAAAATCATTGACTAGAGGTAAAGACGTGCAGCTGCTCAACGCGTTTTCTAAAGCCACGGACACCATGTCGTCTGGCGAATGAATTTTAATCTAAAAATGTCGAGATAATGAAAATATATTGGTAAATTTTGAAGCGTTTCGTGGACAACACGCATATTTACTGTAACGAGTACGTTATCATTCGGGTCACGAGCGACTCCCGCATTTAAAGGACAACAACATCGTGTAATCGAATCAAACCCGCTAAATTTATATACGTGAGGTTGGCATGTTATGCGCCCGCACGGGTCGTTGGGACCTCCTTTTTTCTAGCGGAAATCACCGGACTTTTGACTAAAACCCTCTGCCACTCAACAGCCACTGTCCAAATCCAGATTCGACCACACCAACGAAATAAAGGGGACAGATGAGGTGAAGAGTTTTTCCTCCCCACCCTTTACCAAGGGAACCGTAACCGCTAGTTATTGATGACGCTCTGGATATTGGTTATACCTGCTTATTGCTTAACAAAATAGTCATGAAAACCGATTTAAAGTAAAATAGCCGTCTTCTTCTAGTTGAAACTTCGATTTATTAAAGCGGTGGTCAGACTGTGTTGTCTCTGCTCCCCGAATTCACTCATCACCGTCCTCGTCGAACGTTACCGTCCTCGTCGAACCCGTCGCTTGCAACGAAGGGCTCGACGAGCGAATTAACCCATAGACACAGCCCACTGAGTTTCTCGCCGGATCTTATCAGTGGGTCGCGTTACCGATCCGGTGGTAGATTCTGCGAAGCACTGCTCTTGCTAGGGCCAGTGTTAGCAACACTCCAGCTTGAGCCCCGTGAACTCACCTACACGTTAGGGTGAAGCTGAAATATCCTCTCAAGGCTATCAGCATAGGTAGGGGAAAAAAAAACTTCACTCAACAAAGAGCAGTAATTTTTTAAACAGTTCTATTAGCTACAACATTCTTTGTCTTCGTGATTAATAGCTAAACATATATAACCATACCGATATCCGATACGGTGAAATATAAGCATCTTACTTCCAACACTTTGAAGAAAAAGTAGGATATTTTTTACTCACGATGACGGGTTTCGCGGCGGAAAACAATAGGCTTGGAAGGCCGATACGTCGATTGACAGTTATTACTTTCCCTTCGTTTGTCAGTTTCGAATTGAACACGTAACACAATCCGTATTCAGTCCTCGTCGGACGAAACCTAAAAATGCAAAAGGGATTTTATCTAATTTTGTTCAACCATATTTATCAATTTAGATTTTATTTTTGTCGTTTAGTTTTTTATTTTTATTTATTGCTTAGATGGGTGGACGAGCTCACAGCCCATCTGGTGTTAAATGGTTACTGGAGCTCATAGACATCTACGACGTAAATATGCCACCCACCTTGAGATATAAGTTCTAAGGTTTCAAGTATAGTTACAACGGCTGCCCCACCCTTCAAACCGAAACGCATTACTGCTTCACTGCAGAAATAGGCGGGGTGGTGGTACCAACCAGCGCGGACTCACAAGAGGTCCTACCATTAGTAAATTTCAGAATACGTTCACGGTCCGTTTGGAAATTACTGGTCATCGGAATCAGTGGTACGGAAACCATGCGATGTTTTCATTAATTCCTGCGTGATCTTGCGGGGGAAGAGGCAGTAAAATAACCAAATCCAAACATGTCATGATTAAACGAGGGTCATAAAAATATCTCTGTATTACGCAGCGGCTTTTCTGTACCCCACTAACTCACTGTGAAATGAGCGGTAGAATTGTCAGCCATCATCAGAAATCTTTACATGTTCGCGTTTTTTTTTTAATTTAATGACATATGTTCGCGCTTTTCACCGATTATCACCACTTATTTAGTGCGATTTAAGATCTGTTCATACGTATTCAACAAATGTTCACGATTGACTTCTACGGTGAAGGAATAGCATCGTGTAATAAAAATCAAAGCCGCAAAATTATAATTTGCGTAATTAGTGGAGGATCACTTGTGAATCCGCACGGGTAGGTATCACCACCCTGCCTATTTCTGGCGTGAAGTAGTAATGAATTTCGGTTTGAAGGCTGGGGCAGCCATTGTAACTATACTTGAGACCTTAGAACCCATATGTCAAGGTGAGTGGTGGCATTTACGTTGTAGATGTCTATGAGCTCCGGTAACCACTTAACAAAAAAAAGGGTGCGTGTACTTATGTACGCGCGTAAGAAGTTATAGTTTATTTTTATTAAATTAATTTAATTTCCTTTTTTTTAAATTTTAATCAATTTGAAAAAAAATCGATTAAACTACATTCTCAAACACGCATATTGGTTATCCCTTTTCTTGACATCGTATAAATTCGGTAATTCTCGGTACGGTTCGGAAAGTTCACCTGCGGCTATATTCAGACTCGCCAAGTTACGTCGGTCGTATTGTAATGAGCGATTTAGTGGGCAACTTCATTCTGTTAATTTTGTGTCACGGTGCGCGCGCATCGTAAAATTTCACTCTCATCAATTTTTCATAACGCGCCTAAAGAAGTATAATTTCAAAAAATCTGTTATTCTTTCGTTTAAAATCAGCTTCGCTAAACATTTCAGCCTTTCAGATAAATAGCCTTTCAGAATATTTATGTTACTAAACTTAACGAACGGTAATAGCCGAATTTTAGGACGAAACTTTGTGAACTTATTTACGAAACGAAATTCGCCTTCACGGGTTAATTAAGCGAGGAGATTTATTAATTTTATTGTGTTAAATAGTGATAAACATTTCTAGGTACCTATCTCATAATTTCAGTAATTAGCTTAGTAAATAAAGCTCTAGCATAACACGAGATTTCCAACTTTTAGGATCCTGGTCGTATGTTTTTTGCCTGACATACTCAATCTCAGTTGATGTTGAACGGGCGAGATTTCGTCGGAAATTTAAAGGGTGGGGTATCCAATACAACTATTAATGGCTATTCGCACTCACAATACATGATACCAACATTACGCAAATAAAAAAATGCGATACTCCTCATTCCTTCATTCCTGCTTTGTCTAATATATCATTCCTGCTTAATCAAAGTCTTTCGTGGGTATGCTGGAGATTCATATTTGCTTTGAAAATTCGGACGAGGCATATTTACATTACTCGATAGAAATCATTCTACATTTAAGGCCACGAACGCGTATCAAAATGATACCGGATGGATTAAATCTAATCACAACAAAATTCCACTACCCACAGTTTCACGCAAAAACAACATTTCTAGTTAAAAACTCCAAACCAACCCACCGATCGCAGCAAGAGAAGTACTCATCGGCCCACCAGCAATCAGTGAGCATCTGAGTGCAATTCCACCTGATCTTGTCGATCAGCTCCAAGTAGTTAGGGATGCAGGTCAGATTCATTTTGCAGTTCACACACTTTGAACAGTGCTTCGAATTCCAGTACAATACGTCTTTTAAGAAAGCTGAATATTTTTGCGTTAGACCGGTCCTAAAAAAAAAAATTAAAATATTGTTACGCCGGTAAGAGCAACGCCATCTATCGTCGAATATCAAAACTACTCTACTTGTCAGGAATGTTCTCGATATTTCTAGGGATGTCGTATCGACTACAAAAGCGTTGCAGAGATGACACGAAGGCGGTAAGTAATTGGATCTACTCGAAGCGAAACAGCGAACGGATCACCCGAAGCGAAGCGGAAGAAGTTAATTACGGATTGTAAAGCGCTCTGTATGTGTTCTAAGCGCTAAATAGAGTTTTAATTTCTACTTCGGTGGAAGTTTCATTTATCCCGAACCTCAGCGCGTGACAATATGTTAAAATAAGAGATTTACAAGTCATCGCTGACTCAAATAAACACCATACAAATTACTGTAACTAGTGATTAAATTACTATTACGGATGAAAGGCGATTCCATGCAGCAGAGATGCGAATGTTGCGATGGATGTGTGGAGTAACGAGAATGGATAGAATACGAAATGAATATGTTAGAGGAAGTCTGAAAGTGGCACCTGTGACAGAGAAGCTGAGGAGTGCGCGTTTGGGGTGGTATGGACATGTGATGAGACGGAATGAAAATGAGGTTGGTAAGAGAGTGTTAACTATGAATGTGGAAGGAGATAGAGGAAGAGGTAGACCTAAGAAGAAATGGATGGATTGTGTGAAGGACGATATGGGTAAGAGGGGAGTGAGCGAAGAAATGGTATATGATAGAAGAGTATGTAAGGAGAAAACATGTTGCGCCGACCCCAGGTGACTGGGAGAAGGGCAGGATAATGATGATGATGAGTGATTAAATTACCAAAACTCACACATTCAAATACTCTTTAATTCTATCGCCGGGGTCGTTGGCCTCGCAAATCGTAACTGCGGGGAAAGGTGTCTCCCATTCTAAATAATTTGTCTCCACGCTATAGTTGATTGCGTCTTCGGTATAAAGGCCCAGCGTCGCTTTAAGAACTGCTGTCGAACCAAAACAGCAGACCAATAGCATCGAGAACCAAAACAATCTGCCAAAAAGGTTTGTATCACTTAGATTTTAGTTGTCGTAGCCTAGAGGATAAAGACGCCCAGTACAATCGTATCAAGCGATGCATCGGTGTTCGAATCCCCCAGGCGGGTACCAATTTTTCTAATGATATACGTAAAAAAGGGTGCGTGTACTTATGTACGCGCGTAAGAAACTATACTTTATTTTTATTAAATTTATTTCTTTTTTTTAAATATTAAATAATTAATAATAAATATTTAACGTTAATATTTTAATAATATTTAGTATGAATTATATTAAATATAATTTTGTTATTTATATTACTAAAAAATGAATGCTAATAAAACTTTTTTTTACGAGTGTACACGCGCGAAAGTTCACCTACGGCTATATTCAGACTCGCCAAGTTACGTCGGTCGTATTGTAATAAGCGATTTAGTGGGCAACTTCATTTCTGTTAATATTGTGTCACGGTGCGCGCGCATCATAAATTTTCACTCTCATCAACTTTTCATAACTTAAAAAAAAAGTTGCTCTTTTTTTCCATACCTAATCGTTGGAGATTAAGGGGAAAGGACAATGCCCATTTTCTATGGGCGTCTGGGCCCCTAAAAAAAGTTGTCACGTCATGATGGTTTTAACTTATTTTGATAAACAAAGAAATATCGTTTCATATTCAGAAAACTATTTTTATATTCTCACCCAGGTTTAAGAGATATGTATTTTTTTCTGCAGCTAAAATTAAGTTGTTAATTGTTTTTTTTCGAAATCAATAATCGCTGTTATAATTATTTACAGTATTAAATAAGTTAATTGTGGTTAATGTTGCTAGCAATAAGCCCTTACGTACATTTTATTATTATTATATCCTCATAAAAATAATAAAATGAAATGAAAATCCGGAAGTTGACAACGATATTGTTGTTGTTGTTTTTAAATTCGCCAATAAGCAGGCAAAGAGCGTAGCCTATACAGCCTAGTCTGTTGTAGTTATATTTTTTATGTCAATAAAAAGCCGGTGTATCTCTTTTTATTGCTTTTTGGAAGTTTTGACGTCAACTCGATGAATAGCTCATTGAGTGAGCATGAATTTCCGCAGACCTTTATCTTGAAAAAAAAAACAGTCACTGCTATGTTAGCCACAGTTTTATTCCAATGCCTCAATAAACGTGAACAATGATTATTGACGTTTAATACACAAAACAACACCCAATTTATATATTATACATCACAATAAACCTACCAATAAACTATTAAAAAAACATTAAAATAAAACTTCAAGTGACGCTTCACTCGGGTTGCTGCCAAAACTCTCTGATCATATATAATAAGAATAGAGTAATGGTAGGCCATTGCTATTTTTACTAATGGAATCATTAATATCTAAAAATATTAAATAAAATATCTCATGGTTTCATGTAATAATTATTATTACAATATATAAATATTGAATTGAACAAAAATAAACTAAAAAGTCTGTGAATTATAACAATTAGTTTTTTTTTTATTTGTTGTTCATGTCACAGACAACTCGTTTGGCAGCATATAGGTTTACTATAAGGCTGTATGGGCTAAGCCCTTTGCCTATTGGTGAATTTAAAAACTATGGCACTAAGTTTTGGGATGTTATCAAATAAGTAATTTATTTTTTTGTAAAACAATGCCTGGGCGAAAGTAATGTTGATACATAAACTAAACAACGTAAAAAAATAAGGCATAGTTTTTCAAGTACAAATAGTTTTGACATAAAGTTGGCCCACTTTTGGGCATTGTCCTTTCATCTCCGCGCGGACGTGTAAGTGAGCACAGCCTTAGAGAATTCCTAACACTGACCCTAGCAATACACATTGGTACATGTCGTTGCGTGTTTTCGAATTTTAACATGACCCGGAACGAGTAAATTCACCATCAATTGAGGCCCTCAGCGTAAAAATGACCTAACCCACAATTTTTCTTATTCGTGCATATATATTATAGCAATTTATTGAAAACTTAATAAATATTGATGCAAAAACGGTTTATCCCTAGTTTCACGCATAGATAACAGATGGCTTTGTAAACATTATTTTTAGAAAGAAGAAAGGAAGATGAAGAAGAAGAGAAGAGGGAAGAGAAGAAAGAAGTCGTCCCACCATCACACACCTCGAGCCTGCTACACACCATCCCGCAGAGCATCACCCCTGCCTCAATAGGTAGGGAGATCCAGTCCGGGCAGAGGGGTTTCCCCGAGGCCCGCTCCGCGCCGCCGCAAGGGGACGCGACGACCCCACGACGACGACATTATTTTTGCGCATGGCTACGAAGCCATGTAAAAGTAAATTCACACCTCATTATCTCCATACTAACTATAGTAAGCTTAGATCACTTTTACGCTGACGGCCTCAATTATCATTGCTTGTCGCGTACGAAACCAAAACTCTTTTGCTTTGTTTCCGTCTCAATTTTAACAGAAAACCTTCCTCAGTTTGTAAAGGAATCTGCACAACACATAAATAACTAAAACAACACGCCTTGAACTCCTGAATACGACGTTTATAGCAAAAGTTTGAATCAAACACATTGAATTATAATTTAAAATGAATAGGAACTTATTTTTACAATTTTTGGAGATTCAGGTTTTATGTTACATATATTTTATAACATTATTAATCGCATAAAATTTCAACTTTTTTTTCGTAGTCGCTGTTAGCTTAACGCTAAATCTATATTATTAGAGGCGACTCCCTCTTAAGTCAAAGTCTATGGGCGGAGCCATTGACGACGAGCACTCACGTGGACTCGTGACGTCATCTGGAGGGGCAACTCGTCATCTGGAGGGGCAACCGACCGACCAGCGGGGACATCACGCCACCTCGGATCACTTTTTGCTGGAAGCGCGCGCAGCGTTCACTTGTCTTAGATTTAATATTCTGTGTCGATCGTTCCTACCCACTTTTGTATTTTTTTTATTTATTTAAATTATTAAGCCGTTGCTAAAATCAGAAGTGGGATAGGGCTTGTGCCCTATCCGCTTCTGGGTTATCCTGGCGTACAGTTTATTTTTAAAATTTGCATTAAATTAACAACGTAATGACCGATATACGTGTAACTGGAAGCAGGGTAGGAGGACGCTCGCATTCGCCGAATGTTCGAGACCAATATTGGAGAATAATATTGGCGCGTTTAATTGCTTAAAACTCAAATGTGAACGTTGCGCGTGAGTCGAGCCCGCTAGGGTCGCAGATAGAAGACGCACGTCCCTCGACCGCGGACGGTGGTGGCGCCGGACCCGTGGTGGCGTTGGGAATCACATCACCGCCGCCGTCAGAGTCCCGCGCGTACGACGCTACAGACAGGATCATCGGAGCATTAAGTGCACTGTCCAAAGTAAGGTCGAACCATTTTTATATTTCTAATTTTGACCCCAGCGTTAATGATATCGATTCTTGGTGCGAAGTAGATTTTTTTTGTCGGATACCCTCTTATGAAATGTAATAAATCACCAAGTAACTAGCTCAACGACTTTATCACAACCGACCTTACGGTCTATTTTTATTGACGCGATAGAACATGCTCGAGACTGAATGCTCAGTTTCGATGGGTGGAAATAACATTCGAAGGGTTCAAAATGTTACTAGTCGGCACACTCCATCAATACGTCAATTAGACAACAGTCCGACTGTCCAGGTCGGTGATCATGCAAACGGGACGCCGTGTTGTTCCATCGCCGTGTCGATTGTACCCGCGTTTGAGAATAGATGTAAAATAGTTCCACCACGCGTTGTGACAATAAAAAGGCAACTACCACATCAGCACGGAAGTTAACCGAATCCATTAGATTCGTAAATTCAGATCGAGCTCATGGTTACTTTATTTCTAAGTTTTACCCTGCCGTGCAATACATAGACACATTGTGTAAGGAAGTAGAATGGGCTAGATCCTTAACTGGGAAGGCACTGAGTATTTGTCACGAGTTTTGGGCTGTCTTAAGAGTGATGAGCGTACTTGGTTACACGTGTGATTGTCTAGTGACCGGACGTGGGGTAACTTCGTAAAAGACTTTAAGCCGTTGTGTCCGCGAAAGTTAGAGTATGCCAATATTCTTTATAATGCTATGCAATTAGCATCAGATTGCTTTGCCTCATACGTCGAGTGCGCCAGGAGATCGTTGCTCTGTATTAAGATGGTCAGAGGTCTGACTGACAAACTCGGAACTTTAATAATGATACGGGGCATAATGGGCCCTCTGGTTGACTCGCGAACGCTAGTCTACAGATTCACGATTTGATTTAATTTTTGGTGGAGGTCAGGTTAGGCCGAGTCCTCGTAGGGTTCAGGCACTAGTTGAGTCACCAGTGACGCGTAATGTCAAACATTCTTGGGGTTGACTGCATGCTTCCAGAGATTTACGTGGTAACATAGTTCACGTAGATGTTGTAACGTGGTAACATAGTTCACGCAGAGATTTACGTGGTAACATAGTTCACGTAGATGTTGTAACGTGGTAACATAGTTCACGCAGAGATTTACGTGGTAACATAGTTCACGTAGATGTTGTAACGTGGTAACATAGTTCACGCAGAGATTTACGTGGTAACATAGTTCACGTAGATGTTGTAACGTGGTAACATAGTTCACGCAGAGATTTACGTGGTAACATAGTTCACGTAGATGTTGTAACGTGGTAACATAGTTCACGCAGAGATTTACGTGGTAACATAGTTCACGTAAAGGTGTGACGTGGTAACGCAGTTCACGTTACGAGTGTATTAGCTTGACATGTTAACCTGGCCATGTCAACCAGACTTTACTCTCAGTATATTATACACCCGATATGGTAACAGTGCCGTGTCTTCAGTACATCTAACGTAACTCAACAAGAGCCTACTATACATGAACACACTGAAATGTGATGTAAAATGCTCACAAAAACTACTAACTTTTACTAATGGTTCATGGTACCAAAATCATGATTGTAATGCAAACAATCTATTTCTATGACGATATCATAGAACACCCCGATAGCA